TGTACACAGATTCTTACTTCATGTGTTCTTGAGTTAGAGTTCTATTTTATTCCTGGGCAGGTAGCTCAGTGGGTTAGAGCATTTTCCTAATATGCCAAGGTTGTGGGTTCAATCCTCAGTCAGGGCACATACAAAAATCAACCAATGAATGCATAAGTAAGTGAACAATAAATCAATGTATCTCTCTCAAAAATCAATCAATAAAAAAAATTTTAAAATAGAGTTCTATTGTAAAGGACAATTCTATTAGCAAATAATTATGGTGCACCTACTAGGAGCAAGCCAGTGTTTTAGATGCTAAGGAAATAGCAATGACAAACACAGATGAGGTGCCTGCTTCCGTGGGCTGGCGTCTAGGTCAAGGGCATGGAAATTGGAGAAGTTAACAAACAAAAGATGATGATCATTTCCGAAGAGGAAATGTGCAGTGGAGACAATAAAAAAGGGTGAAGTGAAAGAGTGACTTCAGGAGCCAACCGAGGTAGACTCTCTGAGAAGGTGCCATTTGAGCAGTTGGACAGGAAGGCAGCAACCGTGCACACGTATGAGAAGAGCACTCCAGACAGAGGGAAGAGGCCACACAGGAGCACTGACGTGGGGGCGTGGTGGGTTGTCGTATTCAAAACCAGACAGACAGAAGGCCTGTGTGGCTGGCATGTGCACGCCCTTGCGAAGAGCACTCTCAGTGGAGGGATGGGGACAGGAGACGGACTGGAAAGAACACCCTCACCTCCTTGGGACTGTTTTATGTCAAAGAGAGGCAGGTAAATGGGGCAGTAATTCAGAGGGTCATCAGCTCGAGGGAGGGATCTGTGATGGTCACTTGCTTCATTTGATTTTACTGAAGCAAGTTGGGTGTTGATGGGAATGGTCAGCTCAGGCTGATCATGTGAGTGCCCACTCCCATCAGATCCTACCACCCTCTATGGAGGGGTCCCGCAATGGGCAAAGACCCCTTGGGTATTTACTGCTCCTATTGACGTGGGCCTTCCCAGGCTCCTCACTGCAGAGAGGGGCTGTAAAATGCTTCCGTTGGACATCTGCACACCTGCCGCCTCTGCTTGTGCTGTTCTCTTCAGTAGACGATGGACAGGGAGGGCCTGGATCAGAGGGCTGACCCCAGCCTGCCCAAAGGAGACACCATTGCTCCGTGCACAGTGGGCACGGCTTCACCACTCGGAGACCGTACCCAGCCGACGGGACTTCAGCAGAGCTCTTCCTAACCTGGGCTCCAAAGTGGCTAAACAAAAGGAAGACTATCTAGAATTTATGAGAATGTCTTAAAAGCAATCTTGTATTAATTGTTACATGCAGGCTGTAATTATAGATTAAAATGAAGGCTGTTTTATTTGTCGGGTGAGAAAACTGTGTGCCAGGCATCCTTAGAGTTTCTTGGGCTGTGAAAGGTGCTCCCTCATGGCCACTCCCCATCCTTCTGGAGCCCACCTCCCTCATGGGCACACATTCACATGCATGTGCACACACACACACGCTGTCCTTATCCCAGAGTGCTCCAATGTCATCTGAGGTCCAACCAACAACCCAGGTGTCGTTTTAATCATCAAAATGAGAGACAATGGGATCTCTACTGATTTCAGAAAGAACTACTCAAGCAAAAACTCACAGACACAGACAACAGTATGGTGCTTACCAGAGGGAAGGGTGGGTGGGGGCAGGTAAAAAGGGTAAAGAGGAAATAAATGATAGTGGAAGGAGGCTTGACTTGGGGTCACGAATGCACAGCACAATATACAGATGATGTATTGAAGAACTATACACTTGAAACCTGTATAATTTTATTAACCGATGTCACCCCAATATATTTAATAAAATTAAATTGAAATTTTTAAAAATACAGGCTACTTAAGATTTTTCTGTGTGTTTAGAAAGGTAACCATCCAGAATAGCATAGATTTTAAATGAAAAAAAAAAGCCCCCCATCCCTGGCTGGTGTGGCTCAGTAAATTGAGTACTGACTTGCAAACCAAAAGGTCACCGGTTTGATTCCCAGTCAGGGCACATGCCTGGGGTGTGGGCGATGTCCTCAGTAGGGGAAACGCGAGAGGCAGCCACACATTGATGTTTCTCTTTCTCCCTCCATTCCCCTCTCTCTAAAAATAAATAAATAAATTTTAAAAAATTACTCAAGCATTTTTAAAATTAATGGAACAATTGAATAGATAATGATGCAAATAGGGTGTAGCTATCTCCTATATTTCCACCTGTACATCCAAAACAGCTTACAGAAAAGCACAAAGCATCCATGAAAGTAGAGACATAACCATTGCCTTCAAAAATCGCTTCCAATTGTATTTGTTTTTTTTAGTGGGTTCCAAAGCTACAATACATCGCCCCCGCTCCCGGTTTGATTGTCTGCCCTCCTTACATTGCGTGAACAGTTCAGACACCTTCCTTTTTCTGTGATAGGTCCTGGCCTGGTGAGAGTGGTCAGTCGGCCATGCCAGGGCCTGAGTCTGTTGGGTAGGTATCCACGCCATCCGCAGGTCGTTCCTTGGCTTCAGCTTACCCCCTTTCCCAGCCTCTTTGACCTTCAGACACTAACTATAAAAGTCCATGTAAATTGATGATGCTGCTTTTTTGGAACACATCTCAGACACAGGCAAAGTGGCAAATTCCCCCCTGACGATGGTGGGTGGGCAAGAGCAGATTCCCCTTGAGCCCACTCCTGGAAACACAGACCATTTGGAAAGGGAGAACCCGAGTGAGCAAGGCATGTGAGGAGGTGAGTGAGCGACTGTGGGCAGCTCCCCTGAGAAGCAGCATGTGGGTGGTGGACAGACACGCAGACAGCGGGGGACAGTGGCAGGATTTTAGGTGGCATTGTGAAACCCTTAGCCGTCTGGGGGGATGGCCAGGCAGTCTGAAAAGGGGTGGCTAGGGAGATAGGACAGAGGACTCTTCTAGCCAGATTCAGATGCCTCTGAAACACCCAATGCAGCAACACTTAGGGGCCAGGATTTATGGCTCAGAACCACGTTTTGGGGGAGTGAGGTCCTGGTGATTTTGAGTCTTGGAGGAGAAAAGTGAAGCTGTTATGGAGAAGGCTGAGTGGGTCACACGCCTGCACGGGGGGCTGGTGGGAGCTCTCGCCCACTTAATTAGAGTAACAGATTTCTCCTCTGGTAGATTCTCTGTGTAGGAAAGGAAGTAGCGAACGTGGAATGAGAGTAATAAAAAAGACTTAGCTGATATCAGATGTTTTCTGTTTGGTTTCTGCTTGCCAGGTCTGACTAGTGTAGCTTATAATTAGTCTCTGCTTGCAGATGTGTGGTTCCAAAGAGTTGTGGATTAAGAAGAAACTCTAGAATTTCTCAGTACCTGACAAGTTGTAACGTGAAGAGCTACACTTAGTCCATTAAAGATTTTTCACAGTGACATTTGAGAAATATGCCACCTTGCCATTTATCGTTTTCAGGGCATGGGTGTCGGAAAGGAGGTTGCTATGAAGAACAAAACAAAGTGGATTGCATGTGTAGAGGTGAGCTGGCGAATACTGATAAATGTACTTCACTGAATGTCAGCAAATGTCACTTGAGAAGCCATTTGCAGCTACCATAACAGCCTCCCAAACCCAACTAAGAGTAGCAAAAACAGGCAAAATGAACTGGGCGTCTTGCTTCTGCATGAATAAGCAATCAGCCCTCTCAGAAGTTACACCAGAAAGTTGTTAAACTTGATATAAGGCGCTTTTCCACCCATCCTGACTCACACTAGAGATTGCTACAAAGGGTTGGAGACCGGCTGAGGGCCTCAGCGCTGTGGTTCAGGGGCAGACTTAGCAACCCCTTCGATCCCCAGTGGGTGCCCTCCTTGGGTGCCAGATTGGCATCTCCCAGACATGCTCTCTGGGTTCTTCCTGCTCCCCCACTCCTGCTGCTTTCTCCGGTCCTGCAGAGCCCCCCCCACCGACTCCTAGCCTACCCTCCTGTGGGGCGAGGTCCAGGAGGGGCTGAAGAGGTGACCTGGGTACCAGGACCCAAGGATGCAGCCCCCAAATTGCCATGTCAGGAGAAGGCCCAACATTCCACCCTTAAACCAGGTTTTCAGTCTCCCACTCAAGAAAAGGCTTTTCAATGTGTCCTCTGGTTAATTCGAAATTTTGAGTAAAACACTCAGCTTCTGTTTTATTCTTGGTGACTGGGTCAAAACTTGGGCTACATGTGATTTAAGATTTGTGGAAGCTAGATCCAAGTTTTCTCCAGAATCCAGTTTGGGTAGAGATGGTCCTTCCTTCTTCCTCCGCATGGTGAGTCTACAAACTTTGCTGCGCAGAAATAAACGGGAGAGAAGATCATATTCTCAGAAAAGCTCTCCTGGGAAATGCGAGACTAATTAAAGTAAAATTCCAGCCCCTCTGCATTTTCTAATCTCTCGGGGCTCCTCCTCCTCAACACACACAGGTCATCCAATACCTTTTTCCTCCTGTACATCAAGAGCCTTGCAGAGTAGCTCGAGTTTGTCTGGCTTTGTAAATGCACCGCACACACAAGCACATTGCCCACACGAATCGAGGTCAGCTCAGCTTTCACTGGAGAGATGCTGTGGTGTCAGGCTCCCAAACAAGAAGCCCTTTATTGAACGTACACCCCAGACCCTGTTTCCGAACGTGCTAATGGACAGACTTCCTTCTTCACACTGTTCTGCCATATGTTTAGCCCGTCTGTGTGTGGTGGAACTGAACACATTGTACAACCAGGGAAAGCTAGACTCTTGGGAAAGCCAAGTTCCCTCGGATGAACTGGGGGATGAGGGACGAGCTGGAGTGAGGACGGTAGAAGGACAGGGTGGTGGGAGGCTCATGGCAGAATTCTTCATAATCCTTGGTGTTTCCTCATTTTGAATCAGGCGCTTCCTGTGGAAGGGGTGTCTGGAACTCAAAAGGCATCTGTTTATTATTGAAATTGAATTGCCCTCAGCTTGTTGACTTCTATGCTTAGTTAAGAAAGAAAGAGCAGCTTGTTTTTTGTTTTGTTTTTAAGAAGAAGAAGGTGAAGGAGAAAAGACAAGAAGAAGCAGAAGAAAGCCAGATTTCTGGAGCAGAGGTGGAGATGACAGCAAAGTGGAAGAGATCCGGGAGAAGGGACAGAGATGTGAATGTCTGCTTGGGGCATGACACAGCCTGGCACTGCTTTACTCAGCGAAGGCACTTTCTGAAGAGCAAATCTCTGCTGGATCCTAGTGTGGATGCCTCTCCCAGGCCCAAAGAGCCACAAAAGCATCACAAAAATGGATCTTGAAAAAAAGACAGTGTGGGTGTAGATTTTCCCTTGTACTAGTATTATTTATTTTGCTGGTGGTTGTAATTTTAAAATTTGTCTCTTAAAGCTCAAACTAATAAGCATCTGTTCCCAGGGGATTAAAAAAAAAAGAGCTGTTCCTAATTGATTAACATAACCAGAATCCTACAATGCTGGAGGCCGGAGCTATGTCAAAACCTACCTTCCTACTGTTTTGTTTTTAAAGAACAAAACCAAAACTGTCTTCGTATAGACAAGGGCAGCCAGTATTGTCTGTGTCTCTCAGATGAGAAAACATGAAGCTGGGCTGGGCCAGCCACTTTCTCCACGCACTAATTAGTAGCCCCACCAGCTTTCCTTGTTTCTAATTCAGGGCCATTTGCAGTGGACTCTGCTCTGTGTGTAAAATCCTACCAAGCCTCCTTTCACTGTTTTGCATTCCAGGATGTTTCAAACAAAATGTTAAATTGGTCCATAAGAGGAAGGTTTGTTAAAAATACAAAACTCCCTAGAATCGCAGTAATCCCCTCATTCTTACAAGAATGTAAACAGGACATCAATACAGGGAACATTTGCCCATGGAGAAGTCGCCTCTGAGTGAGAACCTTCACTCCTTTCCTTGTGCCAATTGGCATCATTTTGCAGCCCTAGACACGATCAGTAACCTCGAAATGAGCTCTCTCGGACTGAATGAGGGAAAGGTACACCCTCAAAGGGGGAGAGAAGTAAGGGCTTCAGGTTAACATAGACAGCAGGCCATCCTAAGGAGAAATGTTTAGAGGAATTTACTATTAGGCTTCTAAGTAATTCTATTCATTTACTTAAATAAGTACTTTTAAACGCCTGCCTTATATGAAACCTGTCACTATACCTTAACTACATGCCAGTATTGTTAATATGTCCTTTTTCTCACCATCTCAAATCATATACAATTTTCAAGGCTTAGCTCAAATCCTGCCTCTTCCAGGAAGCCTTCTGAGATTTTCCCTATGTTTCCCTTTTATGTGCTCCCAGCCAGGACACCCATTAAAGAACATCATTGTGCTGTGCTGTCCTGACTGTGTTTCTCACCCCAGCAAGTATCAGCTCCCTGAGAAGAGGGTCGCCACCTTACTTTGCCTCACCGAGATTGCCTCCTCTCGTACACTCTTTGAAACTGGATCAAAGGCAACCCAAACTGGGTGTTCTTCCACTCACACTGGGGTCCAAACCACCTGGGTTTAAATATAAGGGAAACAGCCTTCTCCCCAGGAGCTATTGGTAGCATTCAGCACTCACTGGAGGGGAAAGAAGCAGATGAGGGAGAGGCAAGTGGGTGGCCTGTCCAGATAATATCAGCCCTCTGAGCAGCGGGACAGAAATCAGACTGGTTAACTTAGGGTGAGTAAGAGGAGCAGAATTAGCCAAATAATTATGTAGATTGGGCCTTTACTGACAAGTGATACCTTTTTTTTTTTTGATATACTTAGGTTTTAAAGCAATTTTCCCCACCTCTGTATCAAATACACTTTGAGAGTGGACACCTTGTCCAGATATAATAAGATAAAAATAGAGTTTACATTTTTCTTCTAGAACTGCCAGCATCCAGCCACCTGAGCTTCTTTCTTAACACACTGACTTTCATGATTTCCCTGTAGGAAAAGTTTGCAGGGTGGGAATCGTTGTTTTTCCTCCTTGAAGCTCTGCCCGAGTAATCACAGGAGAGAGAATACCTGCCCCCCTTCCCCCACCAACACCGACAGGACACGGCGCCTTTTACTACTGAAAACTTGGATTCTGCGTGGGGTTTGCAAAATATGTTAATGGATTTTGGCAGAGATTTTTCTGGTTTGGAACTCCCTCCTTCCAGTACCTGTTGTTTTGATACAGGTCTTACAAAGAAGTACCTTTCCTAGAAATTTTCCATTTTTTTAATGCAAATAGTCCCCTGAGCAGGCAGAACACCCTGTGTCTGAGTTGACTGTCAGGCCTGAAGAACCTGTACTTGAGTTGGTTGGTTGGTAAATGCGCAGAATTTAACAAGTTCATGTAACTAACATTTCTTTTTTCCTGTTGGACACTTTAAAAAACCTGTAGGCACTCCACACCTACCATAATTCATAAAAGTCCTTCTTTATAATTCCAAATGTTTCACTTCAGTGTCTGTAATATTTACTTGTTTCCCTACCCAATTAGGGGGAGGAAATCTCCCTCGATTTTGAGAAGAAAAAGATCTTTCAAGTTTCTAAATGTAAGAAACTTGTCCAATGAACATTCAAAAATATATTTCTATATTCATTTACTCTGATATGAGAGCAGAATTGCTGCTTTTGCTCAAAGGACAATGTTTTTAAATGACACAAATCTACACGTGTGTTGCTAGAATTAACACCCTGATGTTTACGGCTCCGGCAGGATTTCCTACTAGGGGAATCCGCATGGAGAGAAGTACTCTGTCTGGGGAGGATTTAAGGAAATTTTAATATCCAGACAAAGGCTCCCATGCCCTCCCCCAGAGGAAAAACAATGGATAATTTGCATATGCACATGACACAAATTAAAGACAAAGGGACCCTCACAGACTGTGGCTACTTCCAAGTCTCTGCACTGTTTTTGCTTCCAATAAATGGCATTACGTTGGATAACTAAAAATAGTGGTTCTGGGCCCTCTTGCCCATTCCCACTGTAGAATCTGTTTGCTCAATCAGAAATTATCCCCCAAGCTTCCCAGGAGCTTCTAGGCAGAAAGAACTACAGTTCCAAGGGAGGAAAAAATATGTATATACTTTGCCCTTTTTATTTTAATGGCCAAACAATGTAATGCTAGCTAAATAGAAATTCTTGTCTGTTAATAGGTTCCTTTAGTTTGTAATAAATAAGAATGCTAATGACTAAAATTTGTTATTTGGTATGCATTAGCTTTTGTGAGCCTTTCTTTATAGAGTCCTCATTGACATGCAATATGGCTTCCTTTGAAACATATTTATAAAATAACTACAGTATAATTAAACCAACAAAGACATCTTTTAAGTAAGCTTAATAGCTCAGTTTTTTTTTCCACCTCGGTAAAAATTTATTTTAAAAAGAAAAATAGTTATGCCTCAATCCCACTGTATATTTTATTCTGCGTATCTAATATTTCCTTGCATCTACAATCTACGCATATCTAATTCTTTTTGACAACTGTGATTATTAATAAAGTGCTCATGAAAGATGCTTCATAGCTTCTTCAGCGAGAATAATGTGGCTTTTTTGTTAATGGAAATTGTAACATATCTTGACAGATACAATATATAAGATATGTTTTTTTCTTGATAATATTGCTGCGCCGAATACACAGGAGCAGATCAACAGATATGGCAGGTAATAATCAGAGTGGATGGTGTTTTATACAATGTAACTAAAAATATTTTAATAATACAAAAGCAGCAGATAAATAAAAGCTATTATGTTTAATTTTGCCTTCGGCGTGCGCACAATTGCGGCTGCTGGTTGCAGCCGTTGCGGGTTTGTTTACAGCGGAGGAAGCTCCGAGCGCAGCTCTCGGCGCACAGTTGGTCCTGCGCTCTCACAGCCCCAGGGTCCTGCCCGCCGCCCCTTTTCTGTTCTCGGCGCTTCGGTGTCCCGGGGACGCCGAGCCCGGCTGAATGCTAATTCGCAATACACCGCAGCTCAAGTTCACCAAGTTTTCCTGACTTTTGCAAATCGTTCCTCTCTCTTCCTGCGACCCAGTTTTCCCAAAGGGAAAAAAAACCCAAAGACAGCAGGCGGCGGGCCGGCCCGACCCGAGCAGGCTCTGGCTGCCCCTCCGCCTGCCCGCGCCTCTCTGCCCCGGAGCCGCGCTCCCTTCTTCCCGACACTCGGTCCGCGCGGCTCAGAGACTGCCAGCCCCCCGCCCCGCCCGCGGAGAATAAACACAGTTGACATCACGGTTACAATCTTTATTTAAAACTGTTTCCAAGGTTACAAATTACCGTGCCTCGTATGCAACAGGTTCCTCTGAAGCGGTATCATTACAGATTAACTGTAATGTGTAGGATTAGAATAAAAGCATAAGGGATTAGGTAAAAGGGGGAACGCTGGAGAAATAACGCCCGAGCACATCTCGACTTCGAGTCAGCCGGCAGGGGCCGCGCGGTAGCTCGGGGCTCCAGCGCCGCGCTCGCCCAGCTCCTCCGCAGCCGGCCCGGGAGCGGTCGGAGGCGGCGGCGCCCGCAGGGTCAGCGCGGCCGGAGGCTGCGGGGCGGGGCGTCTTGGGTTCCGAGGACTAGAGATGGGTCCCCGGGCGCGGGAAGGCGAGGGGCCAGGAGGCCGCGGAGGCGGAGGGCGCGGGCAGGCCTATGGTCCAGCTGCAGGACACGGTTCCACTGCCGTGCGAAGCGCCGGGGATGCAGCAAAGGGACCAGCAGGCACACACGCCTGTCACCGGATTACCCGGGAGTTGCTGACAATGCCGAGGTCCGATGGGGCCCCTCACTGCGTCCTGCAGCCGCACAGCGCCGCCACTCTCCCGCCGGGCTGGGCTGGGGCCCGGGCCCCGCGCAGGCCGCCCGTCCCCTTCGAAGCCCAGGACTTGGGCCTTCGCCGCCCACCGAGGCCCTGCGCCCGATTAGGCCACCTCCCCGGCCAGCTGACCCCAGCCCCCAAATCCCAGAAGGGGCCCCAGAGCTCCTTCCCCGCTCACTCCGCTTCCTGCGGGGCCAGCGCTCCTGCGCCAGCCTGGGCCAGAGGCTGCTAGCGGGTCTGGGCGGAGGGCGCAGGGCTGGAAAAACAAACAAGGCCCTCACGAAAGCCTGGAGTGGGGGCTGGCTGGGGGCTGGAAGGAAGTGCGCAGCGCGGCCAGAGCGACCGACAAAGCCCACTCGGGAGCCCGATCACCCCGCGGTGACCCCAGGCCCGCCCCGCTGAGTCGCAGGGCCCCAGGCCCTCTCATCCGAGCAGGCCGCACTCTTCGGGTCCGGCTCCCCTTGGGCCTCGCAGGCCGACTCCCCGCCTGCTCCGAAGGCGCGAAGCCTCACGCGGCCCCCCGAGCCAAAAGATCGTGGCTGAGGGGCACCCCACACAGATGTCCTCCGCCAGGAAACCGAGTGGCTCTGGGACGTGCTGGAGCCGTAGCTCCACCAGGGGCCCAGGAGGGGCGGGGCGGGCTCCCAAGTGGACCGGAGTGGGCGACCAACTTCTCGGCGACTCCTGTTTGGAAGAGAAGTGCCCCGGCTGAGGAGGTGGCGGGAGGGGACTGTTGAAAACAGCTGTTCCTCATACATATTTCATTACACAATCAGATAATGCGTCCCACCACCTTCTCAATTATTCACAGATAAACATTTTCAAGACGTTTTGACATCTGTCTTAGTGCCTGCTATTAATTTAGTAATCACTGTAGTTAAAAATGTATGGGATTTTTGCCGTCAGAATAACTCCTCTTGGGGGTGCGGGCCCTCCGTTGGGCTGCGGCTGGAAGCCTGGGCCCTCCGGGAGGGAAGACACCTTTGCAGGTGAAGCGGCCTCTCCAGCGCATTGGCACTGTTAACAGAAGGGATTGAAGGGGTGTAGCGGGTATCTGGCTATCTTATTTTACTGTTGAAGACGGCGGTTGTCTCCTCCCCTTGCTCCAGCCAGCCCTGGACTCCAGGACACCTTTGCCCAGTAAAGCGGAAATGGTTAGCTTCTTCTTCCTAGACGGGGAGTCTCTGCTCAGGAAGAGGAGAACGACTCTAGTTGGCTCATCTGGGGCCAGCAGAGAAAGAGAGAGGATGAGGGGAGAGAAACCACGCGATCTCTAAGAAACCCAACAACTACGCAAGAGGCGGTTTTGCCCTGAGCCTTGTGGCTTCCGCAGAGGTGACCAGGGCATTTAGGAAAGGGGGGGGGGAACTGCTCCATTATTGGGGTGATTACTTGGTAAGTTATATAAATGTCTAATCACTATTGTACACCTGAAACTAATATAATATTGTATGTGAACCATAATTAAAAATTAAAAATTTGCTTCAGTGACTGTACCGAGGCATTTGGGGCCCTGAAAAAATGAACCGCTTTTCTGCCTGAGTGACAACTGTTGCAAGACGCTGAGCTACGAATGCACGGTTTTATAAATCAGACAAGCAGAGTTTGGAGAGTCTTGTAGAATC